GGAACAGACCGCATGGGTCTTATATGTTCATAACCAGGTTGCATCTTAGCCCCTGAACTTTAAGAAAGTTGCCAACGATTTCAGGACCAGGCAGTAACCTCTGTGCCTGAGATGGTCCGTAAACAGGAACGGATACCAACCTGCAAGCCTGCAAGCCTGCAAGTCTCCTGAGTCCCCAGGGCGACGGTTGCTGGGAGACAGCAGACCCACCCAGCAGACAGTTGACTTTCTCAGGAAAAGCTCAATATCTGGGCATCTCGGTGTTATCTGAGTTGATGGGGTTAGGTCAAAGTTTGTTCATAAAATGCTGGATCAAGTGCTATCTAGAGTAGGGGGGACATGGATACCCCCCTTCTATTCTTCCTCCTCTTCCTCCTGTCTGCCCTCTGCTTCTCCTCCTCCTCCTCCTCATTTGCCCTCTTTCCTTTTCCTCTTCCTCTTTCTCCCCTGCACCTGGTCTGGCTCCAGCCCTCTGGCAGCCTCGGGAGGAGGCTTCAGGAGGGAGGAAGGCAGTTTGGGCAGCCGGTGCCTACCAGCGGCAGGAGGGCCAGTTCAGGTGGTCTGGGCACAAGCTGCTGTTTGGTCAGAGATGGAATCCAGGCCAGGGCAGTGAGGACAGAGGCTGGGCTGGATTCTGAGATAATTTCTTAGGCAGAAAGGATCATAGAATTAGTGTCTGATTGGGTAAGGGACAGGCTCCATTAAGAAAAGGAGGATTCGAGGAAGCCAGTGCCTTTGAGAGAGAAGTTACATCTGGTCTTAGTAGCTGAGTCTACACACAGGCATCTTTTGTAGATCCCACAGTATTAACATTTCTTTTAAATTAATTTGCAACTCTTAAAAAAAGTATATTTGTCTTCTAGTCTAGATGTCAAGCTCCTTTTGAAAAAAGTCCAATAGTCTCAGGTATGGATTCCAGTCAGCCGGAACAGTGGGACCAGGGCTGGGCTTGGGGGGCAGGCACCAGGCAGTGCATGAGTCACCATCTTCCTGCCTCAACCCCAGGGTAGCTGGGATACAGGCATCTTCTCCCTGCACCTGGCTTTCAGAGCGAGCAGGGAATCGAACTAGGTGTTCTGTGTGACCTCAGCCTACCAAGGACCGTATCTACTCTTGTGCGCTGCCACGGCTAAGCCACATTGGTTTTTCAAACTGGGCTCACCCAAAGCTCAGTAAAGGGATATCTGATGACTCCTGAGAGGGCCTTCTTCGACCGTGGAGCAGCGGGACTTCCTTCGGAGCCGAGAGCACGCCTATAATCTTCTTCCCAACTTTTCTGACAGAAAAGTCTAGAAGGAAGTTGGTGGGAAATAGCTTGATTGGCAGCATAGAATCCCTGAAAAGGCAACATTCAGATGGGGACATGCTGCTTGAAGTAGCAGACAAAGGAATGTCCACCACAGGGAAACGATGAATGTTATAACCATCTAACCGTAAGATGGTTATTAGAAAGCATGTTTTCCAAGATTTTCTTTTTAGTTTTAAAACATGGGGGAAATGCTGATAATACAATGTTAATTAAAAAAAAAATATGATACAGAAGTTTTGATGGGGCTGGCCCCCTGACCTAGTGGTTAAGGAAGCTGATCCTACATGGCCAACTGTGTGGTTTGAACCCTGGCCCTGGCAGCTTGAAAAACCCACTGGGTGTGTGTGTGCATGCCTCAAATCCTGACAGGAGGGAGAAATGGAGGAGAGGGGATTGCAGCATGACCATGCCCGATTGGGGGGTACTTTCTCCCTCTCCCTCCCTATCTCTCTGTCTCTCTCTGGTGAGTGCACATGTCCTCAGGAAAAGGAAAAAATTCTTAAAAATTTAAGTAGGGGCCAGCAGGTGGCATGGTGGTTAAGGTGCTGGACTCCCCTATGTCCGACTGTAGTTTCAGTCCCGGACATGGAGGCTTGAACATCACTGCAGGCACGTGTGCATGCATGTACCCAAAATCCTGAGAGGAGAATGGAGGAGGAGGGCTTGCAGCATGGCCAGCCCCTCTGTGGGGTGATTTCTCACGTTCCCTCTGTCTCTGTCTGGCAAGCACACATGCCCCTATGGCAAAAACCCAAACTAAATAACTAAGTGGAAGTAAGCAATTGATTCCAACTGTACTCCTAAAATAGAATATATGAATAAGGAAAAAAGAGAAGGGAAAGTACTAAAATTCTATCAGTGGTTCTCTGGATGGTGAGGACATTGATCTCATTGTTATGCATTTCTGTTGACACGACAA